GTTCTAGTTCAGTTCTAGTTCAGTTCTAGTTCAGTTCTAGTTCAGTTCTAGTTCAGTTCTAGTTCAGTTCTAGTTCAGTTCTAGTTCAGTTCTAGTTCAGTTCTAGTTCAGTTCTAGTTCAGTTCTAGTTCAGTTCTAGTTCAGTTCTAGTTCAGTTCTAGTTCAGTTCTAGTTCAGTTCTAGTTCAGTTCTAGTTCAGTTCTAGTTCAGTTCTAGTTCAGTTCTAGTTCAGTTCTAGTTCAGTTCTAGTTCAGTTCTAGTTCAGTTCTAGTTCAGTTCTAGTTCAGTTCTAGTTCAGTTCTAGTTCAGTTCTAGTTCAGTTCTAGTTCAGTTCTAGTTCAGTTCTAGTTCAGTTCTAGTTCAGTTCTAGTTCAGTTCTAGTTCTAGTCAGTTCTAGTTCAGTTCAAGTTCAGTTCTAGTTCAGTTCTAGTTCAGTTCTAGTTCAGTTCTAGTTCAGTTCTAGTTCAGTTCTAGTTCAGTTCTAGTTCAGTTCTAGTTCAGTTCTAGTTCAGTTCTAGTTCAGTTCTAGTTCAGTTCTAGTTCAGTTCTAGTTCAGTTCTAGTTCAGTTCTAGTTCAGTCTAGTTCAGTTCTAGTTCAGTTCTAGTTCAGTTCTAGTTCAGTTCTAGTTCAGTTCTAGTTCAGTTCTAGTTTCAGTTCTAGTTCGTTCTAGTTCAGTTCTAGTTCAGTTCTAGTTCAGTTCTAGTTCAGTTCTAGTCAGTTCTAGTTCAGTTCTAGTTCAGTTCTAGTTCAGTTCTAGTTCAGTTCTAGTTTAGTTCTAGTTTAGTTCTAGTTCAGTCAGTTCTAGTTCAGTTCTAGTTCAGTCTAGTTCAGTTCTAGTTCAGTTCTAGTTCAGTTCTAGTTCAGTTCTAGTTCAGTTCTAGTTCAGTTTCTAGTTCAGTTCTAGTTCAGTTCTAGTTCAGTTCTAGTTCAGTTCTAGTTCAGTTCTAGTTCAGTTCTAGTTCAGTTCTAGTTCAGTTCTAGTTCAGTTCTAGTTCAGTTTTAGTTCAGTTCTAGTTCAGTTCTAGTTTAGTTCTACTTCAGTTCTACTTCAGTTCTAGTTCAGTTCTAGTTCAGTTTTTCAGTTCTAGTTCAGTTCAGTTCAGTTTCTAGTTCAGTTCTAGTTCAGTTCTAGTTCTTCAGTTCAGTTTCTAGTTCAGTTCTAGTTCAGTTCTAGTTCAGTTCTAGTTCAGTTCTAGTTCAGTTCTAGTTCAGTTCTAGTTCAGTTCTAGTTCAGTTCTAGTTCAGTTCTAGTTCAGTTCTAGTTCAGTTCTAGTTCAGTTCTAGTTCAGTCTAGTTCATTCTAGTTCAGTTCTAGTCAGTTCTAGTTCTTTCAGTTCTAGTTCAGTTCTAGTTCATTCTAGTTCAGTTCTTTCTTCTAGTTCAGTTCTAGTTCATTCTAGTTCAGTTCTAGTTCAGTTCTAGTTCAGTTCTAGTTCAGTTCTAGTTCAGTTCTAGTTCAGTTCTAGTTCAGTTCTAGTTCAGTTCTAGTTCTTCTAGTTCAGTTCTAGTTCAGTTCTAGTTCAGTTCTAGTTCAGTTCTAGTTCAGTTCTAGTTCAGTTCTAGTTCAGTTCTAGTTCAGTTCTAGTTCAGTTCTAGTTCAGTTCTAGTTCAGTTCTAGTTCAGTTCTAGTTCAGTTCTAGTTCAGTTCTAGTTCAGTTTTAGTTCAGTTCTAGTTCAGTTCTAGTTCAGTTCTAGTTCAGTTCTAGTTCAGTTCTAGTTCAGTTCTAGTTCAGTTCTAGTTCAGTTCTAGTTCTAGTTCAGTTCAGTTCAGTTCTAGTTCAGTTCTAGTTCAGTTCTAGTTCAGTTCTAGTTCAGTTCTAGTTCAGTTCTAGTCAGTTCTAGTTCAGTTCTAGTTCAGTTCTAGTTAGTTCTAGTTTAGTTCTAGTTCAGTTCTAGTTCAGTTTAGTTCAGTTCTAGTTCAGTTCTAGTTCAGTTCTAGTTCAGTTCTAGTTCAGTTCTAGTTCAGTTCTAGTTCAGTTCTAGTTCAGTTCTAGTTCAGTTCTAGTTCGTTTAGTTCAGTTCTAGTTCAGTTCAGTTCAGTTCTAGTTCAGTTTCTAGTTCAGTTCTAGTTCAGTTCTAGTTCAGTTCTAGTTCAGTTCTAGTTCAGTTCTAGTTCAGTTCTAGTTCAGTTCTAGCTAGTTCAGTCTAGTTCAGTTCTAGTTCAGTTCTAGTTCAGTTCTAGTTCAGTTCTAGTTCAGTTCTAGTTCAGTTCTAGTTCAGTTCTAGTTCAGTTCTAGTTCAGTTCTAGTTCAGTTCTAGTTCAGTTCTAATTCAGTTCTAGTTCAGTTCTAGTTCAGTTCTAGTTCAGTTCTAGTTCAGTTCTAGTTCAGTTCTAGTTCAGTTCTAGTTCAGTTCTAGTTCAGTTCTAGTTCAGTTCTAGTTCAGTTCTAGTTCAGTCTAGTTCAGTTCTAGTTCAGTTCTAGTTCAGTTCTAGTTCAGTTCTAGTTCAGTTCTAGTTCAGTTAGTTCTAGTTCAGTTCTAGTTCAGTTCTAGTTCAGTTCTAGTTCAGTTCTAGTTCAGTTCTAGTTCAGTTCTAGTTCAGTTCTCAGTTCAGTTCAGTTCTAGTTCAGTTCTAGTTCAGTTCTAGTTCAGTTCTAGTTCAGTTCTAGTCAGTTCTAGTTCAGTTCTAGTTCAGTTCTAGTTCAGTTCTAGTTCAGTTCTAGTCAGTTCTAGTTCTAGTTCAGTTCTAGTTCAGATCTAGTCTTAGTTCTAGTTCTAGTTCAGTTCTAGTTCAGTTCTGGTTCAGTTCTAGTTCAGTTCTAGTTTAGTTCTAGTTCAGCTCTATCAGTTCTAGTTCAGTTCTAGTTCAGTTCTAGATCAGTTCGATATCAGTTCTAGATCAATTCTAGTTCAGTTCTAGTTCAGTTCTAGTTCAGTTCTAGTTCAGTTCTAGTTCAGTTCTAGTTCAGTTATAGTTTAGTTCTAGTTCAGTTCTAGTTCAGTTCTAGTTCAGTCTAGTTCAGTTCTAGTTCAGTTTAGTTCAGTTCTAGTTTAGTTCTAGTTCAGTTCTAGTTCATCTAGTTCAGTTCTAGTTCAGTTCTAGTTCAGTTCTAGTTCAGTTCTAGTTCAGTTCTAGTTCAGTTCTAGTTCAGTTCTAGTTCAGTTCTAGTTCAGTTCTAGTTCAGTTCTAGTTCAGTTCTAGTTCAGTTCTAGTTCAGTTCTAGTTCAGTTCTAGTTCAGTTCTAGTTCAGTTCTAGTTCAGTTCTAGTTCAGTTCTAGTTCGTTCTAGTTCAGTTCTAGTTCAGTTCTAGTTCAGTTCTAGTTCAGTTCTAGTTCAGTTCTAGTTCAGTTCTAGTTCAGTTCTAGTCAGTTCTAGTTCAGTTCTAGTTCAGTTCTAGTTCATTCTAGTTCAGTTCTAGTTCAGTTCTAGTTCAGTTCTAGTTCAGTTCTAGTTCAGTTCTAGTTCAGTTCTAGTTCAGTTCGTTCAGTTCTAGTTCAGTTTTTTCTAGTTCAGTTCTAGTTCAGTTCTAGTTCAGTTCTAGTTCAGTTCTAGTTCAGTTCTAGTTCAGTTCTAGTTCAGTTCTAGTTCAGTTCTAGTTCAGTTCTAGTTCAGTTCTAGTTCAGTTCTAGTTCAGTTCTAGTTCAGTTCTAGTTCGTTCTAGTTCAGTTCTAGTTCAGTTCTAGTTCTAGTTCAGTTCTAGTTCAGTTCAAGTTCAGTTCTAGTTCAGTTCTAGTTCAGTTCTAGTTCAGTTCTAGTTCAGTTCTAGTTCAGTCTAGTCAGTTCTAGTTCAGTTCTAGTTCAGTTCTAGTTCAGTTCTAGTTCAGTTCTAGTTCAGTTCTAGTTCAGTTCTAGTTCAGTTCTAGTTCAGTTCTAGTTCAGTTCTAGTTCAGTTCTAGTTCAGTTCTAGTTCAGTTCTAGTTCAGTTCTAGTAGTCAGTTCTAGTTCAGTTCTAGTTCAGTTCTAGTTCAGTTCTAGTTCAGTTCTAGTCCAGTTCTAGTTCAGTTCTAGTTCAGTTCTAGTTAGTTCTAGTTCATTCTAGGTCAGTTCTAGTTCAGTTCTAGTTCAGTTCTAGTTCAGTCTAGTTCAGTTCAGTCAGTTTCTAGTTCAGTTCTAGTTCAGTTTAGTTTCGTTTAGTTCAGTTATAGCTCAGTTCTAGATCAGTTCAAGATCAGTTCTAGTTTAGCTCGAGTTCTGTGAAGCTCTGTTCTAGTTCATTTCGAAATCAGTTAATTAATGTTGTAATTCCACTTTAATTTTTGAACTTTTAATTTCTTTGTTGATGTAGTTATAATAAGAATTAAGAAGAATAATTTCCAGGTAACTTACATCTTACATCCATTTCATACATTACCTAAAAGAGAAGAAATGTCGAAAATATCTTATGTATTTGAATATTGAAAAATATTTTTAAAAGTGTTAAATAAAAATATTAAAAAGATTTCCCGTACCGGGAATCGAACCCGGGCCTTCCGGGTGAGAGCCGGATATCCTAACCACTAGACAATACGGGATAGTTATAAATGAAACAAAAAGTGCTACTTGAATAGGAACATAAAAAATACTTTTTTAATATTTAAGGAAAATCAAAGAAGAAAAACCCATAAACGTATTTCTCTTTATAAGATTGTAGGAAAATGTTGAGAATTTTCTGTGGGAAATGCTAACAGATAATTTAAAAGTTTCTAGTGGTGAAGGTGAAATAGTATATATTTTTATAAGAAGAAAATTAATTGTTTTTACATTTAACTGAATAAAAAGTCGAATATTTTTAATTGGAAAAAAATTAAACTTTTTTAAAATTAAATAAAAAAAATATTTTTCCCGTACCGGGAATCGAACCCGGGCCTTCCGGGTGAGAGCCGGATATCCTAACCACTAGACAATACGGGATTGTTAGTACCCAGGAGCAAAATGTTTGTTAAGAACTACGTCTAAGACTAATATTCTAAGTAGAACAAAATAAATTTAAAACAAAATTATCACACCTAAACAAAAACCTTGACTCTTATGATTATTTTCTAATGATTTAATATTTTAATTTTTCTCATTACAGTGATACATTTGTCTGCTATACTAATGACGGTCGGTCTCCACCAGCCAAAGGCTAATGATCTTGAAATTGTGTAAAAATTGTATTCATACAATACATTGTGTAAAGTAAACGACATAAAAGGTAAATCATGAAATACATTTATCAGCCGCAGTAAAAAAACACACAAAATAATTAACAATTCACCAACGTGCTGTTAACAAACCCACGCAGTAGAGAAAACAGATTTACAAAATAAAAGTTTGTTTAAATAAAAATATACATATTTATTTATTTGCTGCAATTAGTGTCGTTATTTCGTGTTAAAATACTAAAAAAATTACTCAAACAAAAAAAAAAAAAAAAAAATGGAAATTGTCAGCCAAGTTCATTGTTTGTATGAGTAATACAATATTACAAATCCGAAACTGAAAAACACAATTAAAATGCCAGCCGGTGATTTTTGTTTTCATCTTATCATCATCAACCACAAATGAGAAAAAAAATTAAAATACTATAATTTTGTAAGCACAATAAATTACGGGCGGCAAACAATACAAAAAGGTGAAAAGCGCATTTTTTGCAATTTGCAAGCAAGTCAGTCAAACATTTTAACACCATATACAAAACACCAACAACAAATGGTCAGTGGGCCCGTAATTTTTAATAAACAATCGTTGTCTTTGTATTCCTTGACTTCTAAAATGGCGTCAATAATCTTGATGACGATCGCTTAGAATCTCTTGTTAACACAAATGAGTCAAACAACCATATGATCATTTAGCTGTTTAAAAGTTCGTTAAATACTTGTTCGAAAAAGTGCCAAATGCAATTTGTATAAAAAAGAAACTAAAAATTACTTATTATAGACAATAAAAGTGGGTCAAAATTGCAAAGTGTATGTGTGTATGTTTTATTTGCAATTTGAAGGCGTTAAAATTTAATAAAATCGATTTTTCTTTGTTAAACAAAAGAAATGATTGTTATGTGAAATAAAAAACAAAACTTGAAAAAAGGGAATTAAAACACATCATACAGCAATCTATAAAATTATTTTCCATTTTTTTATTAATAAAATGATCAGCGAGATCTCTAGGTTAACAGTCTGATCAGTTCTAGTTCAGTTCCTTCTCTAGTTTAGGGATGCCAAACGGGAATTCCCGATTCCCGAAAATCCCGGGATTTTCGGGATTTGAAAGTACCGAAAACCGGGATTTTAAAAAATGAAATCCCGGGAAATTTCGGGATTTTAAAATCCCGAATTTTTAAGTATTTTTCCGCTATTTTATACATTATAAAGTACTAAATAAGAGAATTTAAAAAGTTTTTGGACTTAAGATGACTCTACTAACTTACAAGCTGAAATATCAAAAAAAAAGTAAGAGTGCTATATTCGGCTATGCCGAATATGCTTTTCTATAAACATCAGGGTGATATTACTCATCAAATTTACTGATAGGACCTTATATGAGAGGTAGGGTGAATCATTGACCGTTTTTATAAAATTTTTCATAATTTTTTTAGACCAATTTTGGTTCATACACTTTCCGGTAGGAAGATTTACGTTCCTATAAAAGTTTCTTAGCTTTTGGCGAGTAAGAAACTTACTTATCTCAAATTTCATCTCTACACTCGTACTTGTAAGCCAGTAATGAGCGTTAAAGTATTTATCTGGATGGGACCTTATGTAGGGGTAGGGTCAATTATGGACCGAAACACATAAAACTTGGTAGAGAGATTTTGACTCGCATGAAACATATGTGTATCGAATTTCATCGCTATACTCGTATTTTTAAGCCAGTAATGAGCGTTAAAGTCATTTTTTTAACGGGACCTTATGTGGGGGTAGGGTCAATTATGAACCGACCCACATAAAATTTGGTAGAGAGGTTTTGGCTCGTCAGGGATTTACGAATATCAAATTTCATTGCTATACTAAATAGGCATAGATACTATCGGATATATAAAAAAAACAAGTACGAAATTATAGGCGGGCGAGGCCGACCATATAACCCCATACACCAGTTATGAGAGTAAAATGTAATTTAGTTTTCATAATAAAAGTATACCTCGCCTCCGATATATTCTAGCACTTTATTGTTAAAAAAATATTTTTCTGAAATATGCTTGGGGGAAGGACGCCATCATATGAGTCGATCCTCATAAAATTTGGAGGGCGAATTTACGGTTACATAAAATGTTTTATGCTGAATTTCATTGCGACAGTTCTCTTTTTAAGCGAATTGTGGACACTAATTCTTTTTTAAAGCTGTGTTTTGTATGGGGGCTCGGATCAAAAGCCCGATCATTTTAAATTTCATCAGCGTATTTTAGGAGAGTATAAAACAAAAGCACTACTCCGGAGAAACCCAATATACCATCCCTACTAAGGGTATAAAAAGGGCAATAAATAGGCATTGATACTATCGGATATCTATAATGGAAGTCAACCTGTCAATAAGATGGCGAGAAGATAATTCCCTTGGTTAGTGAACACGGGATATAAGGTGGAGGAGATATAGGTGCAGTACAGGTGCTCTATGTAGCCTCGTATGGATCCCCATTACACATACTATTTAAATATTATTTGGAAACCATTGTAAATTTGGATATCATGGGTATTATTTCAGGTTTTTATTCTACTATTCAGTGCCTGGGATGGAAAGATTTTTATTCTAAGTATGTACTTTGAATTAATTTGTTTTTCTTTTCACAAAATGCTTATTGGAAAGTAAACACCTACTAAGAGTATTCATATTGCAATATGAAATAAAACATTTTATTTTTGTCGGTAAAAGTATTAAGATTTTTTGAATTTTTTTTATATTTTTCGGGATTTAGAAATCCCGAAAATCCCGGGATCCCGATATCGGGATTCCGGGATTTATTTAAAAATCCCGAATCCCGGGATTTCTAAAAACCAGTCCCGATTGGCATCCCTACTCTAGTTCAGTCTTAGTTCAGTTTTGGTTCAGTACAAGTTTAGTTCAAGTTCTGGGCCGGCTCTAGTGCAGTTATAGTTCAGTTCTAGTTTAGTTCTAGTTTAGATCTAGTTTAGTTCTAGTTCAGTTCTAGTTCAGTTCTAGTTCAGTTCTAGTTCAGTTCTAGTTCAGTTCTAGTTCAGTTCTAGTTCAGTTCTAGTTCAGTTCTAGTTCAGTTCTAGTTCAGTTCTAGTTCAGTTCTAGTTCAGTTCTAGTTCAGTTTTAGTTCAGTTCTAGTTCAGTTCTAGTTCAGTTCTAGTTCAGTTCTAGTTCAGTTCTAGTTCAGTTCTAGTTCAGTTCTAGTTCTAGTCTAGTTCAGTTCTAGTTCAGTTCTAGTTCAGTTCTAGTTCAGTTCTAGTTCAGTTCTAGTTCAGTTCTAGTTCAGTTCTAGTTCAGTTCTAGTTCAGTTCTAGTTCAGTTCTAGTTCAGTTCTAGTTCAGTTCTAGTTCAGTTCTAGTTCAGTTCTAGTTCAGTTCTAGTTCAGTTCTAGTTCAGTTCTAGTTCAGTTCTAGTTCAGTTCTAGTTCAGTTCTAGTTCAGTTCTAGTTCAGTTCTAGTTCAGTTCTAGTTCAGTTCTAGTTCAGTTCTAGTTCAGTTCTAGTTCAGTTCTAGTTCAGTTCTAGTTCAGTTCTAGTTCAGTTCTAGTTCAGTTCTAGTTCAGTTCTAGTTCAGTTCTAGTTCATTTCTAGTTCAGTTCTAGTTCAGTTCTAGTTTAGTTCTAGTTCAGTTCTAGTTCAGTTCTAGTTCATTTCCAGTTCAGTCTTTTATTAAGAAGAAACTGAACACAAAATTCAAATCGTGCTTGTTGTGGGGAAAACTTCCATATTACAGATCTTTCCATTTTTACGATTATTAGTAATTAGGTTTGGATGAGATGAACCGAGATTGTACCGAAGATGAAATTCTATTGAAAACTAGTGCGGATACAGTACTAGACTTCAATAGGGTATTCTTCATATTTAAATAAAAAATATTTTCCCGTACCGGGAATCGAACCCGGGCCTTCCGGGTGAGAGCCGGATATCCTAACCACTAGACAATACGGGATACTTAAAATATGATCAAATTGTTCTACTTAAATTAAAATTTAAAAAAATAAAACTATGTGTTCACATTAGTTTATTTTAGTAACCGGGTTTGAATCTTATTGGATTCTAAAAAATTTTGGATATGAAATTTAAGGAGAAAAATCTCAAGTATTAAGGGAACAAATTTTTTTTACACATTTTATATAAATGTTTATGGGAAACAGTGACGTATTTTTATTTATTTCGTAATTATAGGTTTTATATTGCTTATTTTCTTTCAAAGCTATAGAATGGATTTTAGGCCTTTTTCACTTTAACCTCTCCAACACATTTGGCACATACTACGTTTGCCAGTGTTTTATAATTAAAAGCATATTAATGTTAATAAACCAATAAACAACTAAAAAACTAAAATCTACAAAAAATATCAAAAACTAAAAAGCCGACTAAATTATAATAAAAATTCTTTAAATATTTTAGATGCTAAAATAAACACAAATTTCAAATGAACAGATACGTGACATGTAAATCGTTTTGAAAAAAAAAACCAAACAAAGTTATAAATAAAAAAAGCTAATTTAAATACTTTACAACAAATCGAAAAAAAGAACAAAAATAAATTCATTCATAAAAAAACGAACAAAAATTAAAATCTTATACTCTCTTAAACAAGAAAAAAGAGAAGAGTAAAACAATTAAAAAAAAAAACACAACAATGAATTCATCACATTTGGTAACTCCAATGAATACTCATCATCCACATCATCACAATACAACCCATCATCCACATGTGCCCACCAACAGCACGTATACATCAAAAATGCCCACATCGAACAACAGCAACCAACAGACAACCACAACAACAATGCACAATTATAATCCACATGATCAACATGCCGGTCTCTCCGGTTCTACTTTAGTAAACAAATCGAATAATTCCACCACCAACACATCAACAACAAATACACAACAAAATATAGCTAACAATGTGGGGGCTGGTCTTTCCTCAACAACGACCGCATCATCATCGACGCCAACAAATACTAACACATCATATAAATTTGCGCCTGCACGTAGACTAGCTGCTAGGCAGACTTTACGTTTGGCCATACCCAAACAACCGGGTGATTCACAACTACATTCTCAGCTAAACTCAACGGCACCAGCTATGACGGGGAATAATAATAGTCTAGCAACACAATTTAAACATTCATCGCCTTCACAGTTACCGCCAGCTCCCATACTGAAAAGAACAACCCTTAATACCCCCAATTATTCCTCAACTCCTACTTCAATTTCACAAAATTCCCATATACCGAAATCAGCCTCTCCTTTAGAGTCTCATCATTTACCCAATGTTTTACATCATTCTACTACACCCATCTGTACGGCAGCTACTCCCTCAAGTGGGGGCAGTAATAAGTTTTTACGTGTTCGTAATCCCAGCATAACATTAAATTCTTCCGATGTCTGTGGTAATAATGATTTGTTTGCTTTCGCTAAGGAATTCTCCTCGCCAGCGGTGGGAGGGGGAGGTAAGTTTAAGTTTGGAATTTAAAAGAAAATTTTTTATTTAATTAAAATTTTTATTTTTTAGATCATTCCCCGATATTTGCGGAAATTGCCTCTTCAATATCACCCTCTACAGCTAGCTCGGGATCACCTACAAATCACTTGAGTCGTTTGTTTAATTTGAGCCCCTCAACTTTACGGAGTTATGGAAATGTAAGTACCACAACTTTTTAAATTAAGAGTCTATATGGTCAAAACTTTTGCGGAATCTAAAGTCCAGACTATAGCCGACCCTTTTCTGCAGACAATCGACGATCCCATAGTCCAGACTTAGTTCAGTCTTTAGTCGAGACAATAGTACAGAATATAGTACAGATTATAATACAGGCTATAGTCGAAACTGCAGTACGGGCTATAGACGAGACTATAGACTATTGTCAAAACTATATTACATACTATAGTCGAGACTATAGTACAGACTTTATTACAGACTATAATACAGACTATAGAACAGAATATAGTCGTTACTATAGCACATACTATAGTCGAGAGAAGAGTACAGACTATATTCAAGACTATAGTACAGACTATATATAAGACTATAGTACAGACTATATTCAAGCCTATATACAGACTATAGTCGAGAGTAGAGTACTACTATACTATAGTCGGTACTATAGTACAGACTATAGTCGAGACTATAGTACGGACTATAGTCGAGACTGTAGTACAGACTATAGTCGAGAGAAGAGTACGGACTATATTCAAGACAATAGTACAGGCTATATATAAGACTATAGTACAGACTATATTCATGACTATAGTACAGACTATAGTCGAGAGTAGAGTACAGACTATATTCAAGACTAAAGTACAGACAATATTCAAGACTATAGTACAGATTATAATCGAGACTAAAGTACGGACTATAGTCGAGACTGTAGTAAAGACTATAGTCGACACTATAGTGCAGATTATAGTCGAGACCATAGTACAGACTATAGTCGGTACTATAGTACAGACTATAGTCGAGACTATAGTACGGACAATAGTCGAGACTATAGTACGGACTATAGTCGAGACTGTAGTACAGACTATAGTCGAGACTATAGTATAGACTATAGTCGAGACTATAGTATAGACTATAGTCGAGACTCGTCTATAGTCTCGACTATAGTCTACTATAGTCGACTATAGTCTACTATAGTCGACTATAGTCTCGACTATAGTCTATAGTATAGACTATAGTACAGACTATAGTCGAGACTATAGTACAGACTACAGTCGAGACTATAGTACTGGCTATAGTCAAGACTATAGTACAGACTATAGTCGAGACTATAGTACAGACTATAGTGCAGACTATAGTACAGACTATAGTGCAGACTATAGTACAGACTGTAGTGCAGACTATAGTACAGACTGTAGTGCAGACTATAGTACAGACTGTAGTCGAGACTATAGTACAGAATGTAGTCGAGACTATAGTACAGACTGTAGTCGAGACTACAGTAAAGACTGTAGTCGAGACTACAGTACAGACTGTAGTCGAGACTATAGTGCAGACTATAGTACAAACTGTAGTCGAGACTATGGTACAGACTGTAGTCGAGACCATAGTACAGACTATAGTCGAGACCATAGTACAGACTATAGTCGGGACCATAGTACAGACTATAGTCGAGACCATAGTACAGACTATAATCGAGACAATAGTACAGACAATAGTCGAGACTGTAGTACAGACTATAGTCGAGACTATAGTACAAACTATAGTCGGGACTATAGTCTATACTATATAACACAGAATACAGTCGGGACTTTAGTACATATAGTACATACTATATTCGACTATAGTGGCGACTATAGTGCAGACTGTAGCATAGACTATAGTCGATATTATACATCAGACTATATTTGGGACTATATCACAAACTATAGTCGACTCTGACCGAGACTAGCACAGGTTATAGTCGAGATTATAGTGCAGATTGTAGTCGAGACTGTAGCACAGACTATATATAGTCAATTCTATGGCGCAAAATACAGTCGAAACTTTAGTACAGATTCTACTCGAGTTTACAGTCCAGAATTATATACAAGTCGAAGAAAAAATATCTAAAAATATAGAAATTATTAATAATTTTCTCTAAATAAAGAGAAAAAAGTGTTAAGTTTCTTAAAATCGCTAAAAATTAAAATAAACAAACATTGACAATTGCTATTTTTACTAACAGCAAAATAGCACGTTCACAAAATAATTTCTATTTACAAAACTACACGAAATCTTTTGATCTAATTTTAAACTATGATACAATTTTTAATCAAAATTCTATAAATTTACTATTTAAAATTCTGTTAAAATAACGAAAACAAAATAAGAAAAAATATAAATATAATTCCCATACAAATAATGGCAAAATCAAAGGTCATGACTTTTTAAAATTAAACTCAACTAAATTATTCACACTATTTTAGCTTAAAGCTACCACCTCCGTAAAGGAAGGAAAAGAATAGGAAAACAACAGCAACGTGAGGCACAACAAACAATACTAACGAATAACCATAAAGTCTAGGTGAAATTCATAAATTGAAATACAAATGTTGAATATAGATAGATTTGACTGATTGTGAGTACAATAAAAATAATAAAATGAAAAAAAAACTACTATTTACTATTATTTGTTGGGAATATTAAATATCAAATTAGAAGAAAGAACACAAAATATTTAGAGAAAAAAAAAAACAAGTTTTTCAATGGTTTGAATACAGTTAACACCTCACTACCTTAATTAGTAAAATATACACAAAAGATACAACAAGTAGAAAAAACTATTCTACACACAGTTGGATCGAATCTTAAAATGCCCTAAATAGGCGAGGAAATAGTCCAGACTAGAGTCTATAGTCTAGTTTATAGTCTAGACTATAGTCTAGTTTATAGTCCAGACTATAGTCTAGTTTATATTCCAGACTATAGTCTAGTCTATAGTCCAGACTATAGTCTAGTTTATAGTCCAGACTAAAGTCTAGTCCATAGTCTAGATAGTCTATAGTTTAGTATATAGTCCAGACTATTGGTTAGGTTAGGTTGATAGGAGGATGTATCTACATCAAATCCGAAGAAATACCCCTAGGCCACTATCGGGCTTGTTGTGCGCTTCTTTTGATGAAATATGTTTGTTGGTAAAATCAAAAAATCGTCCGATGTTTAGAAACTCAGTTTCCTGGACGTAATTCCTAAGAATTTTCCAATCACTGTCCGTGAGGGAATAATATCACTTCCAAGATATTTGGATCTAATTTCGGCGAAAGCCTGACAATGGCAAAGAAAGTGCTCCAGCTCTACATTCGTCTGAATCCTCACGTCGAATTTTGTGTAGGTGTGCCCGTAATCCTGTGTGTCTACTCAGAATACGTACCACCATACTATCCTCAGACTTGGTCATTTCGCAATCTATAGTCCAGACTATAGTCTAATCTATAGTCCAGACTATAGTCTAATCTATAGTCCAGACTATAGTCTAATCTATAGTCCAGACTATAGTATAATCTATAGTCCAGACTATAGTATAATCTATAGTCCAGACTATAGTATAATCTATAGTCCAGACTATAGTCTAATCTATAGTCCAGATTATAGTCTAATCTATAGTCCAGATTATAGTCTAATTTATAGTCCAGACTATAGTCTAATCTATTGTCCAGACAGTAGTCTAATATATAGTCCAGACTATAGTCTAATCTATAGTCCAGACTATAGTCTAATCTATAGTCCAGACTATAGTCTAATCTATAGTCCAGACTATAGTCTAATCTATAGTCCAGACTATAGTCTAATCTATAGTCCAGACTATAGTCTAATCTATAGTCCAGACTATAGTCTAATCCATAGTCCAGACTATAGTCTAATCTATAGTCCAGACTATAGTCTAATCTATAGTCCAGACTATAGTCTAATCTATAGTCCAGACTATAGTCTAATCTATAGTCCAGACTATAGTCTAATCTATAGTCTAGACTATAGCCTAATATATAGTCCAGACTATAGTCCAGACTATAGTCTAATCTATAGTCCAGACTATAGTCTAATATATAGTCCAGAATATAGTCTAATCTATAGTCCAGACTACAGTCTAATCTATAGTCCAGACTACAGTCTAATCTATAGTCCAGACTATAGTCTAATCTATAGTCCAGACTATAGTCTAATCTATAGTCCAGACTATAGTCTAATCTATAGTCCAGACTATAGTCTAATCTATAGTCCAGACTATAGTCTAATCTATAGTCCAGACTATAGTCTAATCTATAGTCCAGACTATAGTCTAATCTATAGTCCAGACTATAGTCTAATCTATAGTCCAGACTATAGTCTAATCTATAGTCCAGACTATAGTCTAATCTATAGTCCAGACTACAGTCTAATCTATAGTCCAGACTACAGTCTAATCTATAGTCCAGATTATAGTCTAATCTATAGTCCAGAGTATAGTCTAATCTATAGTCCAGACTATAGTCAAGCCTATAGTCTGGATTATAGTCTAGTCTATAGTCCAGACTATAGTCCAGACCTGTCTATAGTTCAGACTCAAGTCTAGTCTATAGTCCAGTCTCAAGTCTAGTCTATAGTCCAGACTAAAGTCTAGTCTATAGTCGAGACTATATAATAGTCTATAGTCCAGACTACAGTCTAGTCTATAGTCCAGACTATAGTCCAGACTATAGTATAGTCTATAGTTCAGACTATAGTCTAGTCGATAGTCCAGACTATAGTCTAGTCTATAGTCGTGTCCAGAGGACATATATAGTGCGGACCATAATCCAAAAATCGAATAGGGTGTAAAAATGCTATTATTGCAAAACATGAAAATTCCTAATGATCATTAAATAACTAATTTATAGATTATAGTAAAAACAGCTCGTAAAAATATACGTTAATAAAATGAAGAATTATTACAACTTACAACAACAACAACAAAAGTTGATCATTATGAGTGTAAGTGACGTAGATGCAGCAACATTATTAGATGGCACGCTTGGGTGGTTTATTCGTTAGTAAGTTACTAAATAAGTTAATGTAGTTGTTAACTAAATAAATTAATGAATGAAACAGAGAGAGAGAGAAAGAGAAGCTAGTGTATATATTTGATTTAACTATAAATGGCACTCCCTGACTTTCTATGGATTAATTTGTTTTCCTTATTTATAAA